AAAAAAAAAAAAAAAAAAATAGAGCAAATTTAACAAATAAAATAAATAATTAAATACGTAGAAGCTTATTTCGCGAATTCATTTGCCAAGATCAACAATCTATGTATATGTATATCTTCTTTGGCAAATATATACACATACAATTAAATTATAAATTATCATAATCGAATTTAATTTGAAGGAAGAAACGAGAGGAGCGAAGCATAATAAATGCCTGTATCTCGTATGTGCAACGAGGGGCAGGCTGTAGGAGAGTAAAGTATCGAAAGAGAAACAAGAGTCACATTAGTCGATCGGAGGTTGGAGGCGAGTCTCTCGAGTAGGTTGTCGGAGCCTTCGGGGCAGAATTGCACCATCCGGTGAGTTAGACCCCCTTGGGCGAATCACCGGCCTTATTTACCCTTCTACCAGCTCGTGTTGCCGCCGGCTCTCTCGGATCGAGCAACGCGTGTGTCACGTGTTGAAACGGAATACACGCGTATGCATATAACGTAACGAATGCGCGTAAAAGGCGCTGCACGCGCGCGATATTAATTAATCTTCGCGCAAGATATATTATATATCCTTCGAATGCGAGAAAAACATTTTTTTTCCTTTCCAAAAGAAAGCCCGATTATTAGAGAACTCGAATTTTTAATATACTTCGCTTTTTCTTTACCTGAAATTTTGCCCGAATCAAAGCGGGGTTCGGCTGATTTGATCGATGCTTGGATCAGGATGATTAATGAACAGTGTAAAAACATTGTATAAATTATATAATTATTGTGATAATCGATGGCAGAAATCGGGTTGCACGGGTTCATAACATAATTTAACTTTCGTCCATTTTTAAGAGTTTAAGCCATTTTTCTTTTACATACGAAAAATATACGAAAAATATACGATACGATCGGAGAGAGTTATTTTTCATCGAACGAGAGCGGGAACTCTTAAAGCGTTCGATTAATTACCGCATCTTCTATTTGTTACCGACTGCCCGTTTACTTCACTATTTACTCGCTAACGTCGCAAAAGTAAACGCAGCGCAGACAGAGCAAATACCAACCACCGACTGGCGGCCAGTGCCTGAACTAAAGATGGACCGAGCCGCGGAACGCGTCCAAGTATCCGTTAGGTCGATCGTTGTTCCGACGTTACACGTCGTGAAAGGCAAAAGATAAAGAAGAGAGCGAATTAGTAATTGGTTCGCCAAGACTCGTTAGCTTCTGCCCCAGTTACAAAAGTGGAAAGAAACTCCTTAAAAATGGGAAAGATTCCTTTTACCGATCGTGTATATATGCATCTTTCTTGGCAAATGATTTCGCGAAATAAACTCGTTACGTATTTAATATTTATTTTACTTGTCGTCCGAATTTATTCCCGTTGTCGTGAGTAATAAAAAAAAAAAAAATATTTAAAATTAAGACAAAATCTTTTCCAATTGTATTTAACTTCATATCAAAGTGAATTTGTTCGAGTCGAATTTATCGTTAAGAAGCGAAAGAAATATTTAGAATCGTATACGTGTATGTCTCTCGGCAAACGAATTGGCAGAATAAACTTGTGTATTCGTTCGATCGACCGCTACCTAAATTTATCATTCTTTTCAAAACATTCGATCGTTATAGTCTCGATTGTTATGCAACATTATGGGCTCACGGTTAACCGTTCTATTTTAAATTTCTCGTACAACATCGATTTGTAGCTGGATGTCAGTCATTGAGACTCGATCCTCGTTGAATGATTCTTTTTCTCCAAATGTCAATGAATGCGGAGTAAATGTACGACCTCCGTGTCGTTGGACGCTCGTTTGTAACGTGCCTTCTTCGTGCCTTCCGGCATAAGAGGATAGAAAAAAGAGAGAGAGGGAAAGAGAGAGACACAGTCTACGTGAAACGTTTGAGAAAGAAAGATAACAGATTTCGCGGGTCCATTACGCTTCCCACGTGTTCGATCCAAGCCTACGCCTAGTCGACCGATCGTGTTAACACTCGATTTCGATTTTTTCTCGTTTTACTTTCAATATTGGCCGAACACCGAACAATTGGACAAGCGGATGGACTCAAGTTTTTCGATCCCTCCTCCTCCTTTCGTATAATTAACGAAAGGATAATAGATGCGTGAAATTTGAATCGTGGAATTGTTGATGGTTGTCGGTGAGGCGGGATATTGAAACGAATGTTGCGAAACTTTGGCATTGAGCGGTGAGAAGGAAAATAATGTTCCAAAAGAGAAAATAGGTCGCGTTCAGAAAAGATTTACTTCGTTTAATGGCATACGTTGCGATAAAATGTTGCGCGCTCGCTTCATCGGTACTTCACACTTTAATATCTCTACTGTGCTCTGCTGCAACTGTTGCGCGTTCCTCCCTCCCCCCTCCCCAACTGGAGATAATATATGGCCAAGTAATGTAATTGTGTAGAGGTTTTTGCGGAGAGCATTGTCACACGTGCGGTATTTAATCGGACGATAAATAAAAAAGCCTAGTTTTTGAATCCAATCTTTCGATCATATTCTCATGTTAATTTTTTTTGTAACGAATCGACATTAAATTTTTCGTTTTCGATTTAATCACATTTAATTTCAAAAATTTTTAAATATTATATTATTTCATAGATCATTCCTAAAAGATCATTTAAAAATATATAAGTGGTTTTGGAACAAAACGAAATACAAAATCGATCGATCGTAAAATTTAAATAAAATCTCGTTTGATCGAGTTGAAATCAAATTTTTCGATTTAATTTTAACTATTCGATATATCATTCCTAAAAGATCAATTAAAAAAAAATATATATATATATATATATATAAGCGATTTTGATATAAAACGAAAAACGAAATCATAAAATTTGAATAAAATCTCATTTAATCAAATTGAAATTAAATTTTTCAATTTAATTTTATTTCGTTTGATTTCAGAAATTTTTAAACAATATATTATTCGATAGATCCTGAAAGATCGGTTAAAAATATAAAAACTATTTTAAGGCAAAACGAAAAACGAAATCGATCGTAAAATTCGAATAAAAAAAAAATCTGTGATCTAATCGCTTTCGATTTCAACGATGAATAATTTGCGCGT